CGATGAAGAAGGTGAGCTGGTACACTATATTTTCTATGCAAATGTTGAACTAGTCAATACAGTTGAGGCATTGAAAGATTCGAAGTGGGTGAAAGCAATGAATGAGGAGTTAGACTCCATCGAAGTTAACAACACCTGGTTACTTATCGATTTGCCTCAAGGCAAGAAAATAATTATATGAAGTAGTTTTACAAGGTAAAGGTGAATCCTAAAGGAGAAGTAACTCGACACAAGGTAAGACTTGTGGCGAAAGGATTTCTTTAAAAGAAGGAATTGATTTCGAAAAAGTTTTTGCATTTGTTGCTAGGATCGAAACAATCAGATTGGTTTTTGGTCTATCAAATATGAACAATTGGCACACATGTCAGATGAACGTGAAATGTGTATTCCTTAATGACCCCTTAGACGAAGAAGTTTATGTTGCATAACCAGATGGGTTTGTGAAATAAGGTGAAGAAAGAATGGTGTACAGGATGCATAAAGTCCTGTATGGACTTAAGCAAGCTCAAAGAGCTTGTAATAAGAAAATCGACAGCTTCTTAAAGGAGAAGGAATTTTTGAAGTGTACAACTGAGCATGGAGTGTACGTAAGACAAAGCAGTAGTGAACTACTTATACTATGCCTCTATGTTGATGACTTGTTGATAATAGGAAGTGTAAGAAGGAGATTGAAAACTTAAAATATAACTTGAGTGAGGAGTTTGAAATGTCAGACTTGGGAAATCTCTCATATGTCCTTAGCATCAAATTCTACAAGAGTAGTATAGGTTTGATGATGCACCAAAGAATACATGCAGACGAAATACTCAAGAAATTTGAGATGCGAGATTGTAATCCAACTCCAACTCCAGCTAAGACCAAATTGCAATTGTCAAAGGATTCAGATGAAGATGATGTCGATCCAACCCAATATAGAATACTTATTGGGTCACTTCGATACCTTTGTCACACAAGGTCTGACTTAGCATACAATGTAGGTATGGTAAGTAGATTCATGTAAAAGCCAAAGGTATCACACCTAGCAGCGACGGAGAGGATACTGAGGTATCTAAAAGGGACCATCGACTATGATATTTCATTTCCTGCAGCTGATGAAGGAAAAGAATGCAAGTTAGTGGGATACACCGACTTTAGTTGGTGTAGTGATGCTGAGGATAGAAAATCCACAGTTGTCTATGTGTTTATGTTAGGTGGTGCACTAATTGCTTGGAGTTCGAGAAAGAAGCCAGTAGTGGCATTGTCATCATGCGAAGCAGAATAATAGATGCTTCTCTTTGTGCATGTCAAGCAACCTGGATGTTGAATGTAATACCTCATTTAAATTATTTAGTCATTTTATACCTTGTAGCGTTGTGTGATTGTTGTGATGTCCTTTTAAGGGTATGATGTTAGGAGCGACAGGGAGAGCTAACCTTAGTTGGGGTAATGTGGACCTAGAATAAGGAATAATTTAATAACAATAATAAGAATGCTATGGTTATTGATATTATCATTTAATTATTATTGATAATAATATTAATAGAATGGTAGTTATAATAATAATAATTATTATTATTATTATTAATTGGATTAAATGAATTAAAACCTGATTAAGGAGTTAAGAGAGAGTTAGTGGAGGAATTAGTCAGTTAACACGTGAAAGAAGAAAAAGACGGAGAAAGGAGAGCTAGGGCAGAAGAACCAAGATTTCTCCATTGTTGCCAAGAAAGAGCTCAAATCCAAGGTAAGGGGGGATAATGAATTTCAATATGGGTGATTTAACATGAGAGGGTAGTGAGAGGTCCTTTCTCTCATAGAAATTTTGCCTGTTCTTACCTTTTTAGTTGATTTTTGTGATATTATGACTTCTCTGTGATTGCTGTTATTGTTGAATGATCATTGTATGATGTTGTATGTATGATTCTGGTACGAAAATGAAATTCGTGTTGAAATTCCATGAAGCGGTGATAGAATACCGTGGATTAACAGATCTGAAAACTAAGGGTTTAACCGTAATTGAAACTAGATCTAATAGATAGAATCTGGAAATAATAGAAGATATGATTCATTGAAATCGATTAAAATATGAGTTTTAGGATGAATGGGAAGACATAATGATGAATCTTGAGTAGGAACTTGTGGGAATGTTGATATCTGAGTTTTTTGACAGATCTGCTGGTCATACGCGTATTGCGGGTGTCAATACGCGTATGAGGGACTTCCCAAGGGGATATATGCGTAGCAGACGTGCCCTGTCCCCAATGCCAGCACGACCATCTGGTGATACGTGTATGGTACGAGTATGGGCCTGGGCAATACGCGTATGGGGGTAGTCATACGCGTAAGGGGTGACTCTGATGGGGTTTTGGGAGGTAGAAGTCTTTGGTCATACGTGTAAGGTAGGGCTAATACGCGTATGACAGCAGGCAATGCGCGTATGAACTTTGTTAGTACGCGTATGGACAGTTTGGGATGACTTTTCCCCGATTTTTGTGATTTCTGTCCAGTGTTCGCTTGGAACGCAATTCCGTTCAATCGGTAGGATTAATAGAACTAAAATGAACTCAAGGAAGATTAGTAATGAATTAAATCGAGAGAACGTGGAACGTTATGGATGTGCCTTTATGGGTGTGTTATGATGAATGTGAGCCATGATTATCGAATGTGGATAATCTTGTGCAATTGTGGTAATTCTCGAGAGGATTACGGTGAGTGGATGGCTCGTGTGAATCATTAATGATCGTGGATTATGCTTGAAATTATGATATCTGCATAATTGTGTTGTCATGCATTTCATGTCATGTGTCTTGTGGAGATGGCTAGGTGGGAATCCATGATGGGTGCCTAGTTTCATCTGGACTTCATGTGGAAGTCGCTGTGGAGATAAGTTGTAGTTCAGAGGAACATATACGACTTATTCGGATTCTGACGGGAATCGGGTTCTAGGGTGAACCGTGTGTATTTGTGTTGGTACCACATGCATTTTGTCGAGTTAGTGAGTCACATTGCATATTTGTATTTGATATGGGCTATTGATGTCGGGTGATTGAGATGGCACGTGTATGTGCGTTGTATGTGGATGATTATATGTGTGGTGTGTAACTACTCCTTAGCATGCGTATTTCACCGCTTATTTATTGAATGTAGTTCTCACCCATTGTCTGTTTGTTGCGTCTGTACTCCTTGGAGAGTGCAGATGACCAGGTACCTGAGTAGTGTTTGAAGTGTGTTGCTATTTGATCGAGTCCTAGGAGTCGCTCTGATACGTAACATAGGATGACAGAATTACGTTATATTTGCTTATTTTCTTGATTTATTGTTACGTATCTTCTATTTGTTGGATTAAGGATGTATGATCACCTTGTGGTGAAGATTATGTTTAAACAATTAAATTTATTCTGCTGTTTAATTGAAAGCTAGATATCATTGGTTTAATTATGAAAAATGAAGTGACTTAGTGTGACATCCTACTTGTTCTGAGAACTCTGATGTATTTTTATGAAATATTTTCGTATATGTTTTATAATACGCGTACGGGGTAGAGTGGGGTGTTACATTGAACCTAGTCGAATAGATCACAGCGAAGAGTCATGAAGCAGTTACCATGAAGATCGGCGAAGAATCCAATATCACACAGTCGAAGCAAACACATTGAAATGAGATTTCATTATCTTCGAGAGCATGTAGCATAAGGGAAGATGAATTTAGAACACTGCAAAATTGAGAATCAGATTGCAGACATCATGCCGAAGAGAGTGTCAGTCGAAGTGTTCAGAAGGCTAAAGTCTATGATGAATGTAGATATCTTAGACACAATGAATTAGGTGGTGTGTTGAGTTTGTAATTCCTTGTGCGAAGCAGTGAAGCTCGACAGAAATAAGGATTAGTCAAATTAGCCTAATGTGTTAGTGTGTCAAAGTGTCGAAGCAGGTTGCTTCACACAGAATTTCGACTTAGGCCTATTTTAGTAATGTTAACTATTTCAGGCTTTCATAGTTTTGGGTTTTGTCTTGAGGTGCAAGGAAACCTAAATCTATAAATAAGGAGAAACCCTTATTTTGTAAACAACTCATCATATTTTGTAATTCACAGTTTGCAGTTGCAAGTGAAATAACAGAATTTTCACAATTTATGGGCAGAGTGTTCTCTGTAGAAAAATGATTCTTCTTTTTCTTCTTCGATGTTTACTTTCTTTTTTTCTAAATCTTTTTATCGTCATTACGTGAGTGAGAACAATCTTAAAATCAAGATTGATTGAATAAAATTCTATATAGATTATGGTTGAATTTTCAACAAAAATGTGGGACTGAAAGAGAGTTTAAGATTTATATATTAATATAATTTTAATGAATTGAAAGTTGATTTATTTGGCTAAAAAATATTATTCAATAGTTACAAGTTAGGTACATAAGCACAATAATAATGTACCTATCATATTCAAAGGTTACATGAATAATGTTCAATTTTTTCTTTACTAAAATAGTTTGTGTTATTTCCAATCGGTTACCGTTATTTTCGCCTCTTATACACATATTTCTTGGCCTGTTGGCCATAATCAATGACCAAATCCACAGAGACGTTGACTGTCTGTAATGTAAAAGTAGTGTCAAAGAGCATTGGACGGTAAGTAGTATCAAAGCATGTGAAAGATTGCCAATAATGCCACAATGAAGAAAGAGAAACTTTATTAAAGTAGGATTAGGAAAACATTAATCTCAATAACTAAGATTTATATGTCGCCTAATACAATTCCATTAGACTAAAAAAATCACATTACAAAGTTTGTGATGAAAAAGTGTCATCATATGCTATACAATGAATTTAATAATGAGAGTAAAAGAGGGTGTCGTGTTGTGGTCACACGCGGTTGGGTTGGGGTTGGCAATTTGCATGTGGTGATAGGGAAAAAAACAGAGCAAGGAAAGAAGTGGAGGAATGTGACGTTTACTTAAGGAAAACGCGGTGTGAGTAATACTACTATAAGCTAAAGATACAGAGAATTTGTAGTGTAAGTTTGAGCAATGTGTGGATCTAAGCCAACAAATGGCATCTTTTTTTTGGGTCCTCATCCCATAAGGTAAAGTGCTACAGACACGCAGTGTGCTCTACTACCCCACCACTTTCAAGCCCGTGGGGTGTACTATTCCAAATCCTTAACCCCCACTTTGTATTTATTATAACTCCAAATGAATAATGGAAAATATCACATATTTGAATTTGCGGTCGTTTGCTGCATGACAGATGTCTCTGCATAGTTATAACTGAACCGTTTAACTGACCTGATTTAACCGAATTACCTACAAATATGTCCGCATAGTTACAACTGAACTGATTTGATTGAGCTGATTTAGCCAATTACCGAGATAATTTGATACTATTTAAATTTTGTTATTAATATTGTTCTAAATTTTTTCTTTCTTTTAATTTGTGTAGCTATCTTTTGTGTAAGTAGTGCTCTATAACAGAATATACCATCACACCGTTTTCTTTCTTTCTCCCTAAACGAAAATAAAAACAAACTAACATTTGAAACGTACTTTTTCGTCGTCATCATCAACAATAACGCCGTTTCCGTCCACAGAACCTATTGGCCATTTGTGTGCTGCAATTTTCGACATTTACTCGCCGCCGATCTGCTTGCTTCTAACTTTACCTCTCTGACGTACGTCTTCTTCAGTATGAGACTTTTCGTTTATCATCAATTTGTTGTTCAATTTTATCTTAATCTTTTTTTTTTAATATTTATAATTGTTCTTTTTGAATATAGGAAGGAAGAGCTTGTTTTCAGTACTACTTTGAGGTCAGTTAGGTTTCTGTTACAGAGTGTTTGATTTGGGAAATTGGAAGAGTTGATGATTAGTTGCTTGTACGGTGGTACTTGATTATGTGGATTGCTCTTAATTGGAACCATGGTTGCGTGCGTGTGCTTTTTTTGGATTGTTGGGGATGAATTGAAGCTTGGTGACTTTGATTTGTGTTGTTGAATTAATTGATTTTGTACTTTTAACTAAGTTTAGGGCTGATTATTTGTGATGAGGAGTAATAGTTAGATTAAGAATTAAGATTGAGAGTTTTTAGTTGTGAATTGTGATCATGGAAGCTAGATTGGGTGCTGAGGGTTATAATTTTTATGGTGTTGGTGGTTCCTCTGATTTGGTTAGTATGGGGAAGAGGGCTAGAGAATGGAATTTGAATGATTGGAGATGGGATGGTGATTTGTTCATAGCTAGCCGTGTGAATCCGGTCCCAGCGGACAGTTTGAGAGTGGGGCAGCAATTTTTTCCTCTTGGGTCCGGGATCTCGGTGGCCGGGGGTTCTTCCAAAACCTCTTCTTCATGCTCTGAGGAAGGAGATCTTGAGAATCCCAAAAGGAGCAAGGAAGGGGAGAGGAAAAGGAGGGTTATTGTTCTGGAAGATGATGGTTTGAATGAGGAGGCTGGTGCCCTTAGCTTAAATCTTGCAGGACGTGCTTCACCGGTAGTGGAAAGGGAGATTGTAAGCTGGGATGGTATGAATGGAAAGAAAAGCAAAGTAGCTGGAGGTACTTCGAATCGAGCTGTTTGTCAGGTTAAAGATTGTGGTGCAGATCTGAGTAGAGGTAAGGATTATCACAGACGTCATAAAGTTTGTGAGATGCATTCTAAGGCTAGTAGAGCACTTGTGGGGAATGCAATGCAGAGGTTTTGTCAACAGTGTAGTAGGTAATTTTATTCTTATTGATTGCTTTCTATTTTTGCTCTGGTTGATAATTATATGTGTAAAGGAAATAAATACTTTTGCTATTAGTTAAATTACAATTCCTAAGTGTAACAGATAGCTGAAATTGAAAACCATATCTGATAGTTAAGTGTTTGATGTGAATAACACTGTTGCATGACATTCTTTTACTCCATCAATAGGTTTCACATGCTTCAAGAGTTCGATGAAGGAAAGAGAAGCTGTCGAAGACGCTTGGCTGGCCATAATAAACGGAGAAGGAAAACAAATAATGAAGTTGTTCCTCATGGAAGTCCAACAAATGATGATCAGACCAGTAGTTATCTCTTGATAAGTTTATTGAAGATACTTTCAAATATGCATTGTAAGTATTTCTTGGTTTCTTTAAATCATATCTTTGTAGCTAGAGCCCTGAGGAATTGGTTAGAAATAAAGACAGTCGTGGTATTAATTTACACTTGTAAATGTAGTAGTTTGTATGTTTTTTCACACAGAACCAATTATAAGTTCAAACTAGGCCAACACATTGCATCGGCAGAAAGATGCATGGAAGAAATTATCTTCTTCCTCAAGTTTCTATTTCATATCATGTTGAAGAATTTAGTTTAGGTTGTTCACTTGATTTCTATGAAAAATAGTGTCAAATGGAAAACAGGATGGCAACAAAAGAGTTAACTTCAATTTTTAACTATCCCTTTTGTATTAGTAACCTAATAGTAAGTGTTCCAGCAGATCTTGGATAAAGTTGAATATTATCTTAAAATTTGAGTTGAGCCTAAACCCTACAAAACCAGCATGTAAGGTAAAGACTGACTTCATTTATAAACATATATTAAGGCTTTATCTCGTCCAATGTGGGACTCCTAACAACTAACATGAGTTATCATCATCTCTTTATTATGTTGGCATTAAATTGGCCCGACAGATCAAATTCTGGCCTCTAAAGAGGATATGGGGGTTACAATGTTAATGGGCACTTATTTTGAAAATAATACTTTTAAGTTTTGTTCACTTCCTTTTGAGAATAATACACATGTTTCAGCAATTGACATGCAGTCAGTTTTTAGGAATTGTAAAAATTTCACTTGTAAGTGTCAATCTAGTGTGATGTGGCAAACTTATGCTTTATGAGACTGATTATTTTTATAACAATGAGGCATTTATTTATTGCATCATATGGCTAGAATGACATTTGGGACTATGTTTGCTTAGTAAGAATGTTCTCACATCTTCTCTTCCTCTGATTGCTATATATGTTATGAATGAGGTTTTCTTGGGATATATATTGACATTTTAAATTAATTACAGCTGACAGGTCAGATCAGCCTACAGATCACGATCTTCTAACTCATCTTCTCAGGAGTCTTGCTAGTCAAAATGATGAGCAAGGGAGCAAGAACTTGTCAAACCTTTTGCAGGAACAAGAGATTTTGTTGAGAGAAGGGGATTCTTCTAGGAAGTCAGAGATGGTGTCAGCTTTATTCTCCAATGGTTCTCAAGGCTCTCCAACTGTTATAGAACAACACCAAACTGTATCTATGAATAAAATGCAACAAGAAATTATGCATACTCATGATGTTAGGACTGTTGATCATCAGCTCGTATCTTCAATAAAACCCAGCATTTCAAACAGTCCCCCAATTTACTCAGAAGTCAGAGATATTAGTGCCCAAATAAAGATGAATACTTTTGATTTGAATGACATATATATTGACTCAGATGATGGCATGGAAGATCTAGAAATATTACCAGTCTCTACAAATATTGGCACTAGCTCTGTTGATTACCCATGGACACAACAAGATTCTCATCAGTCAAGTCCACCTCAAACAAGTGGAAATTCAGATTCTGCATCTGCCCAGTCCCCTACTAGTTCTAGTGGAGAAGCTCAGGTGTGTTTGTTTTGCTGCTTTATTTTAAATTGGCTATTTTACTCATGCTTTTCTCTATTTTTATTGCACTCAAATGAAAGTGAGCATGTCCCCATGATTAAGTTTATTTGACTTAATTTATAGAATTAAGGATGTTTTGTTAAGGCAATGTGTGATGTTGGTTGGTTCTTGAACTTACCAGTGTAGTAGTGATGCTTTACATGCTTTGTGGTGCTGCCTTGATGTCGTGACTAACAAGTAACATGACTCAGGGCCTTTGATGTGTTTGTGTGCATGATTCCTATGCTTTCTTCTCAACTGCTTGCTCTATGCCTTTTTTTATTGTTGTGAAATTCCAGCATTTGCTCTTTTTAGTGTTTTGATCAAACGCAAACTGCCTCCAAATATGTAAATAAAATAGGATATTTAGTGGAAAATAATCCAGAATAAATCAACATGAATTGGTGAATATTTCCTGTTTCTAGCCCTGGCTATTGAACAATACTTTTTACATTAAAATCGAGCATTTGAGACTACTGTCATTTAACTGTTAGTTTTGTTTCTTCCATTCAGAGTCGTACAGATCGGATTGTTTTTAAACTCTTCGGCAAAGAGCCAAATGAATTTCCTCTTGTACTTAGAGCACAGGTACTTTAAACTTTCTACAGCAGCTAAGAGTAACTTCTCATTTATTTCTTTTGAAATTTAATTGTAAAGAGGGTTTCAATTGGCAGATTCTTGATTGGTTATCCCACAGTCCTACCGATATTGAGAGCTACATACGACCTGGTTGTATTGTTTTGACTATTTATCTGCGTCAGGCTGAGGCTGTGTGGGACGATGTAAGTTTTTTTCCTTCTAAAACTCTTAGCCTGAATACGTTGGCAGTTATTTCTGCTAATAAGTAACAATCCTCACCTTAGATGACTTGATTACTTTTTTGCAGCTGTGCTGTGATCTGACTTCCAGTTTAAGTAAGCTGCTGGATGTCTCAGATAATACATTTTGGAGAACTGGATGGGTTCATTTCAGGGTGCAGCATCAAATGGCATTCATTTTCAATGGTCTCTTGTCATGTCTCTGTTGTAGTTCTTAGGGGTCAAATTAACATGAGTCAAAATTTATTTACATGACTAGGTTTATTCTATTTTTATGGTGCAGGTCAAGTTGTAATAGATACATCACTACCTTTCAGAAGCAACAGTTATAGTAAGATTTGGACTGTTAGTCCAATTGCTGTACCAGCATCAAAGAGAGCTCAATTTTCTGTTAAAGGTGTCAACCTAATGCGCCCTGCCACAAGGTAGTCTCTGTTGCTTTGTGACTTGTCAATCCTTTGCATGTTGGTAGTTAAATTAAATGCTATCTTTTAAAGTGACTTGAACCTACTCTCTGAGTTCCAGGATTCTGTTTTAATATATGTATTTTTTGTTGGACTGGTGTTTATATGACCCTTAAATTTGTCCTTAGGTTAATGTGTGCTTTAGAAGGAAACTATCTGGTGTGTGAAGATGCTCATGAGTCAACAGATCAATACTCCAAGGAGCTTGATGAACTTCAGTGTATTCAATTTTCATGTTCGGTCCCTTTGACGAATGGAAGAGGATTTATCGAGGTGCTTTTTCTTCACTCTCTCAAATTATCTACAGAGAAAAAGTAGGCAGGGATTATATGCTTGTTGTTACTAAGTGAGGGGATAATTTCCTCTTTTACCCATTTTAAACTTTTATGGTACACTTTCACACACATTGATTACTGTTGAGTGTCAGTGATATCCTAACTTATAAGTTGTCTTTAAATTTGAATGCATCCATTTTCTAGTGTCATATTTTTTTACGGAAGATAAGCACTCCTGCCCCAATTCTATGTGGCTGAGCCTAAGCTTTCTATTTCATCTTTTGATTTGTTAGATTGAGGACCAGGGTTTGAGTAGCAGCTTCTTTCCTTTCATAGTGGCAGAGGATGATGTTTGCTCAGAGATTCGTGTGCTTGAGCCTTTACTAGAACTAAGTGCAACTGATCCAGATATTGACGGGACTGGAAAAATTAAAGCCAAAAGTCAAGCTATGGATTTCATTCATGAAATGGGCTGGCTTCTTCACAGAAGTCAATTGAAATATAGGGTGGTTCACTTGAACTCTGATTTAGATCTCTTTCCATTAGAACGGTTCATGTGGCTTATGGAGTTTTCCATGGACCATGATTGGTGTGCAGTGGTGAAAAAACTGTTGAACATACTGCTTGATAAAACTGTGAACAAAGGAAATCACCCTACCCTGTATCAAGCACTTACAGAAATGGGCCTCCTTCACAAAGCCGTAAGGAAAAATAGCAAGCAGTTAGTGGAGTTGCTTTTGAGATATGTTCCTAAAAATACATCCGAAGAACTAAGACCCGAAGTCAAGGCACTAGGTGATGGAGTTAGTCTTAGCTTCTTGTTTAGACCTGATGCTGTTGGTCCTGCTGGTTTGACACCACTCCATATAGCGGCGGGAAAAGATGGTTCTGAGGATGTACTGGATGCTCTTACTAATGATCCTAGCATGGTAAAGTTTCTGTCTCCGTAACTTATGTCACTATAAGAATATGTTGGAGATTTACTTGTGGGTTTTATTTCGACAATCGCTGCATCCAACTCTTTCTTTTCTTTTTTTTTTAATTTTTTGTTATATATATATATATATATATATATATATATATATATATATATATATATATATATATATATATATATATATATATATATATATATATATATATATATATATATATATATATATATATATATATATATATATATATATATATATATATATATATATATATATATATATATATATATATATATATATATATATATATATATATATATATATATATATATATATATATATATATATATATATATATATATATATATATATATATATATATATATATATATATATATATATATATATATATATATATATATATATATATATATATATATATATATATATATATATATATATATATATATATATATATATATATATATATATATATATATATATATATATATATATATATATATATATATATATATATATATTTACAAAGCTGCATTTAACTTTGGTTTATTCTGTGTGTTATCATATCTGAATCTTGCTTATAACTTATACAACTTCAATTACTTGAATGATTGTTACATTTATCTACTGCTAGGGACATTTGAATCATTTTTAAATATTATTGGATTTAGTTAATGGGGACTACCAAGTATTGCTGGATGACCTGCCAAACTATTTTGATGACTAAAATTGTCTGACTTCTCATGTTTGATACAGTACCGCGTCTTGTGTGAATGAGCAGAATGATGAACCCCTCAACCCCATTCCCCCCTAATTGTGTCATTTTGGAAATATAGTACATCATGCATTCCATAGCGCAGCATTGGTAACATGTTTTTCATTACAGGTGGGAATCGAAGCATGGAAGAATGCCCGTGACAGCACAGGCTCCACACCTGAGGATTATGCACGATTACGTGGCCATTATACTTACATTCACTTGGTGCAGAAAAAAATTAACAAGAGACAAGGAGCAGCTCACGTGGTAGTTGAGATTCCCAGCAGTCAGACAGAGTGCAATACAAACCAGAAACAGAAACAAATCGAGTCTCTCACTGGATTTGAGATTGGAAAAGCTGAAGTAAAACGTGGCCAAGGGCACTGTAAACTTTGTGTTACTAAAATTTCTTGTAGAACTGCAGTAGGGAGGTCTATGGTATACAGACCTGCAATGCTCTCTATGGTGGCCATAGCAGCAGTCTGTGTTTGTGTGGCTCTTCTGTTCAAAAGCTCACCTGAAGTTCTATACATGTTCCGTCCCTTCAGATGGGAATCATTGGATTTTGGGACAAGTTAAGGTTTCATTGATTTGCAACTAATAAAACTTGATAGGTCATGTATGGATGTGTTCATAAACTAAATGACCAAGATTTAGGACTGGTTCTTTTCTTTGTATTGGGTAAATTGTGCAAATATTATTTACATACTCCTATTTATTATCCTTCTATGACATACTTGTAATACTTATAAAATGAATGTGAAAACCTCTGTTGTTAAAACTCAATTTGTTAGATCCTTCGTAATATAAGGGTAATATTTGAATGGAATATGGAATATTCAGTAGAATACTTGTCTAAGCAAATTCATTAATAATTAAATCTCCAATACATATTGGAACATCATCACAATTTTGGAGAATAACAATATATTTTGTCAGTTACTATCCTAGTATGAGCATCTACATGAGCTTTTTCCCCCTTAAAAACTCCACCGAAAGAGTAGTAAAAGTAAAAAAGATTAGAAATATCGTTATCATGATTTATATTATTATCAGGAGAGGGGACATTACGAGCAATAAAATTAATGGCATTACTAACAGGAGATGGAGTATGGGTGGAATATTATGAACTTTTGGCATTAATATATTCATTGAAAATTGGTTTATAGGTATCTTAAGCGAATATTCATATGTCATCTTTCTACCCACGTTACCATCTCATACTAACCGAAAACGTTAAAATAAGGAAAGTGCGGTGAGCGTGGATCGAACACGCGACCTTCAGATCTTCAGTCTGACGCTCTCCCAACTGAGCTATCCCCGCTTGATGGAGACAATATAAATAGACCATTTATAGTACTATTAATTTTTGATGTTGTGCTTATCCACAATCATCATCTATAATCTATAATAACATAACACTTTTATGTTGACCATTGGACCTATTAATAGACCTGAACTCAAGTTTGAAGAAGAAATTTCTAAAATGGGAAGAACCTCTTGTTTCCAGGATGAGTATACTTTCGGTTCGTTCAATTCTTAATTCTTTTTTAATCATCCAACTTAATCATCAATTTTAACGCTAGTTTTGGTTTCTGCAGAACAAAGGCTTGAAGAATCGCGTGATATTATTGCAAAATTCCCAAATCGAATCCCTGTAAGTCCCTTTCCTCATAAATAAACCCTAACGTTCATCGATTTTAGTTTTCCCCAAATTGAATTTCAATTTTTGCTCTTTGTTGATAGTAATAATAATAATAATCATTTTGTTCTTCAGTTGATTGTGGAACGGTATTCGAAATGCGATCTACCTGAATTGGAGAAGAAAAAGTAAGACCAGAATTACTACAACTTTATAAATAAAAATTAGGGAAATATTATTAAATTTGATTTGATAAATGTATAAAACTGTGTTACTAATTTTAGAATCTGTTAAATTTGTGATAGATATCTTGTTCCACGAGACTTGTCTGTTGGGCATTTCATTCATATTTTGAGTTCCAGACTTAGTTTACCGGCTGGAAAAGCTCTTTTTGTATTTGTCAAGAATACTTTACCTCAAACTGGTAATAAACTTGCACTATCCTAATCTTGTTCTAAGGTTTTTTTTTTGTTGTTGTTGTTATTTTTGAATTGTGTTGTGTTTGTCATTGTTTTTGCAGCTAGTGTGATGGACTCTGTTTATAGATCATTCAAGGATGAGGATGGATTTCTTTACATGTATTATAGTACTGAGAAAACCTTTGGATACTGCACATAATTTCAACTTTTAAACTCTCTACACTTGTAAATAGTGTAAATATTCCTACATTGCATTCTTATTTATGTACCTTCCCAATGACATTGAACCATTTGGGCTATTATGAGTTTGAGAATTCATGACTGTTGATGATCTATATGAAAACTCTTACTAGCCTTAACATTTCTGTATCTAACTCTCATTTAGGAAAACGCAATAAGTGTGTAAGGTATTGCTACGTTGTTGTTGATTAATATGATTAAGAAGTGGTTTTCACTTTCTCTGCTGCATTCGTCATTGAAAATCATTCTGTCATTTATTGTTAGCCACTTTTCACTTGTTCAATTAGGAAAACTTGGAATGAGTGTCAGTTTCTGTTATTTATCCTTGCAATCTTGTTGCCATTTGTTCGTTTCGTGTCCTTTATGGAAGCTTTAGCCACCCCATGCATCAATCATACAAGTTTCCTTTTCTGTCCTTCATTCAGTGTTAGATTTCTTACTGCACTTTTAACACTTCAGCTGTGTCTCCTACTCACTCTTCAATATCATGGCAAGGCGGGAACAAATTTTCTGTTCGTTTTCATGTATCTAATTTAATAAAAAGTAATTTTTACTTTCTACATCCTTGTGTCTGTAAAGCAAAGCTGAGAAACACATGAAGTATGAGTTTATGTATATAAGGGTAATATGATGAATCGTTTTTTTTTTTGGAATCAAAACATATTATTACTATCTTTAAGTATTTATTATATAGAGAAAAAGAGTCTAAGAAATTATACACATAAGCACAAGAGCGAATTCTTCTCCCTATTCGCGAGAGAGGAGAGTTTGAAAAATGAAACTAATCTTATTAACCCATGATTGACAAAAAAAGCTTAAATTTGAAAAGATAAGGTTGTTGATGTTAGAATAATAAAATATCTAAGTTTTTGTATTCTAGATTCTATTAGATTTAGTGGTATATCTGTGTACAACTGTTCTATTATAGCTGTCAAAGTTTGTTTTCCTATATAATGGAGCGTTGTATTCCTCATTTATTATAAATTTAAAATACAAAGATATTTCATCAAATCATATTCTAATAACTCTCTCTCTACATACCAAATCTAATATGGTATCTAGAGCATATTTCCCGATTCAGTGATCTGTGCTCATGGCGTCACTTTTTCCGTTCAACCCTCAGGGTACATTTCCATCCTCTCACGTCAAACTTTCTGTAAAGTTTGATGACAGAAACTTTAAATAATGAAAGCAACAAATCAATGGAGTCATTCGTGGTCACAAACTTCAGAGATTTGTCACCTCACCCTTTGTTTCTCCTCGCTTTCTTCCTGGTTCAGATCCAGCGTCTAACGACGTTAACTCTGAATATCTTGAATGGGAGCAACAAGATGCACTCATCTGCACTTGGCTCTTTTCCACCATTTCTGACTCGCTTCTAACGAATCTTGTTGACTGCACTTATTCATGGCAAGTATGGTCTACGATTCACCTGTATTTCAATACTCTTCTTACCACAAAAGCTCGCTAGCTCCGTTCTGAACTTCGAAATCTCACAAAAGGGTCGCGCACGATAGAAGAGTTTATTCTTCGTGTTCGCGAGATCAATGATTCTCTTATCTCTGTAGAAGACCATGTTCCTCTTCGCAATCTCATTGAAATCGTACTCGACGCTCTTCCAGAAGAGTACGATTCTATTGTGGTTGCAGTTAACAACAAAGATGAACTCAGTTCCATTGATGAGCGTGAGCCCTTTCTTCTCGCTCATGAGTCACGTCTTGAGAAGAACAAGAAAACTATAATCACCGAGCCTGTTTCTGTAAATCTCACTCAAGCTTCATTGCCATCTTCACAAGTCGCTTGCGATACCTCAGGATCTTTAACTCATGTCTTTCCCTCTGGAACTAGCCATGTCACTGCACACGCTGAAAGTCGTGGTTTTTCTTCTCGAGGAGGACGCTCTGGTCGCAGTGGTGGCCGATTTGGTCGTGGTGGTCGTTTCGCTCGTGTTCACTGTCAAATCTGTACCAAGTCTGGTCACGATGCTTCCATATGCTATCATCGTTACTCTAACTCTTCACAATGTACAAGATCTCTTTTCAATCCTTAAATGATGTTGTTTAGGCCTGTTTATCCACCTTCTTTTTGATATTCTGCTCTCAGAGCTCCTTCACCAAGGTATCAACAACAACCTCAAGCTCTCCTTACTTGGTCTGATCCGAATTTCATAATCAATGCTAGTATCCTGATTCTGGAGCTTCTCACCACGTTACTCTTGATCCTTCCAACTTGACTGACTCTGTTTCGCTGCCTGGAACTGATCAAGTGTACATTGGAAATGGACAAGGTTTGTAAATTAACTTTGTAGGTTCTATGGATTTTACCTTGCCTAACACATCCCTCACCTGACACAACTTACTTCTTGTTCCTCACATCACTAAAAATCTCATTAGTGTAAGTAAATTCGCTCAAGACAATAATGTTCTCTTTGAGTTTTATCCACACTTTTGCCTTGTCAAATCCCAGGCTTCCTCTAAAGTCCTGCTTCGTGGCACAGTTGGAGTTGATGGTCTCTACAAGTTTTCCAGTCCTGCCTCTTCCAAGTCTGTGTCAAGCTGCACTCCATCAACTTCAGCACCTATTACTTTTTCTTGTCATTCCCTTTCTAATGATAATTGCAAATCAAACTCTGTTGCTACAAGCAACTACTCCCTTATGTAATAATGATTCTCTTAATAAAACTGCTACTTATGTCATTACTCCTGTCATTACTAGTTTTTCTACCAATAATTCTATTCCTTCTCAATGCATGTTATAATGTCACATTCTCTATATCTAATAACAAATATCATTTGTGGCATACTCGCTTAAGGTATCCTCACCATCATGCTCTTGCAGCAGTGCTTAAAATCTGTAACATTCCCACACCCTCAAAACCACCTAATGAACTATGCCTTCTTTGTTGCCTAGACAAATCTCACAGACTCCCATCTTCCCTTTCCATAACTGAATATCATATTCCTTTTAAGCTGGTTGTGTGTGATTTATGGGGACCAGCTCCGATTCAATCCTCTAGTGGTTACACTTATTTTCTAACTTGTGTTGATGCTCATTCCAGGTTTGTGTGGGTTTTTCCACTCAAAATCAAATATGATACTCTCACACAATTTGTCCACTTCAAATCCATGGTTGAGCTTCAGTTTGGCTTCAAAATCAAGAGTGTTCAAACTGATAATGGTGGTGAATTTCACCCCTTCACCAAGTATCTTACTGAACTTGGTATTACTCATCGTTTCACATGTCCCCATACTCATCATTAGAATGGCATTGTTGAAAGAAAACATCGCCATATTGTTGAAACTGGTTTATCTCTCCTTACTCAGTCCAATCTACCTTTGAAATATTGGGATCATGCTTTTATCACTGTTGCATATCTTATCAATCATCTGCCTCGTCTCACCCCCAAAACCAATCTCCTTCATTCTCATGCACAAACATCCTGATTATTCTCTCCTTAGGGTGTTTGGTTGTGCATGCTTCCCTTTTCTTTGCCCTTACAATGCCTACAAACTAGCCTTTAGATCTCTAGAATGCATTTTCTTAGGGTATTCTACCTCCCACAAAGGCTACAAATGCCTTGCCTATGATGGTCACATCTATTTGTCTAAAGATGTTCTCTTTCATGAATCTAGATTCCCATACTTGAAATTATTTCCCACCTCTGTGTCAGCTCCAACTGCACCTACTGCCTCTCACTCCTGGTTTTCCTCATCTGCATCTTTCTCTCTCACTCCTCTTCATCAAATTAACTTGTCTCCCTCTCCTCCTGCTACACCACACTTCTTTACCAATAACTCACCATCCCCCTCTCCTAATATTACTCCCACTGCCAATTCCTTTTTATCTCCTCCTATTTCTCATGTTCATTCTGCTAGTGTTATTTCTTCCAACACTGACATAGCTGAACTCAACACTACTTCTCCCTCTTCATATGCTTCCTCATCACCAATTGCCTCCCTCTCTCCTATCACTTCTCAATCTCAGCCCTTAGTTCATCCTCTTAACACTCATGTTATGCACACTAGGGCCAAACATGACATAGTTAAACCTAGACTGCACCCTACCTTTCTCTTCACCACCATGGAACATACATTTGTTAATCAAGCCATGTCCTCTTCTCACTGGTTTTAGGCTATGAATGATGAGTATCAGGCACTTTTGAAGAATCAAACTTGGACATTGGTGTCTCACCCTGCTTCTAAGAATCCCATTGGCTGTAAATGGGTGTTCAGGGTAAAAGAAAATTCAGATGGCTCTGTCAATAAGTATAAGTCCAGATTAGTTGATAAGGGTTTTCTTCAACAGACTGGTAGTGAATATGCTGAGACATTTTCTCCTGATGTAAAACCTGTTACTATTATAAGCATTCTCACAATTGTAGTTACAAACAAATGGAGTATACAACAAATTGATGTAAACAATGCCTTCCTCAATGGCATACTTGAAGAAGATGTTTACATGCAGCAGCCCCCTGGATTTGAGTCAGCTGATAAGTCTCTGGTCTACAAGTTAAACAAAGCTCTCTATAGCCTTAAACAGGCCCCTACAGTCTGGTTTGAAATGTTAAAGGGCTCTCTGATACAAACTGGTTTTCAAGCCAGCAAGTGTGACCCTAGTTTGTTTATGCTTCACTCTAACACTTTATCTATTATGATCTTAGTTTATGTTTATGATATCATTATCATTAGAAATTCCTCTTCATTTATAGACAACCTCATCACAAAGTTAAATTCTAAGTTTACTCTCAAACAACTTGGAAAGCTAGATTCTTTTTTGGGCATTAAAGTCACTCATCTCCCAAGTGGCTCTTTACTCTTGTCTCAAACCGAATATATTCGTGATCTTCTAGCCAAATCTAATATGGCATCTGCTAATGGTATGCCCACACCCATGATATCTAGCAGCAAACTTTCTAAGTTTGGTTCTACTGCTGTCCCTGATCCCACTCACTTCAGATCC